AACTTCCAGGGGAGTGAACACTTCTTATAGGTGCTGTGTAATGTCGGACAACGCCTTGTAAAGAAACAGAGACTGTTGAACCTTTATCTGCTGTAGGGGTCTTTGGCCAGCGTCTGGAGGAGACGGTGCTGTATGAGCGGCGCTATGGGGTGCGTTTGGTTCCTCTGGTGGTGGAGCAGTGTGTGAACTTCATCAGGGAGCGTGGCCTCCATGAGGTGGGCTTGTTTCGTCAGCCGGGACAGGCCAGTCTGGTCAAAGAGCTGCAGGAGGCGTTCGATTCAGGGGAGAGGCCGTCCTTCGACAGGTACAGTCCCTCTGCTTTCACCCCTCTGTGCCGTTCTCTCACCGCCTCGTCTGACAAAAGTTAGCCGGTTGTGTGTTTTTTTTCCCTCGCAGTAGCACAGACGTCCACACGGTGGCGTCGCTGCTGAAGCTCTACCTCCGACAGCTGCCGGAGCCTCTGGTCCCTTACAGCCGCTACCAGGACTTCCTGCTCTGTGGTCACAAGCTGTCAAGCGACCGAACGCTGGTAACCGACAACGTTCAGTTAAACAGCAGCTCAGCGTCCTGAAAGTCTTGTCTCTGCTGACCTCCAGTGGTCGAACTTCTCACCTGTAAAAAAGGATTTTAAACTTTAAAACGGAGGGACTTCCTCCTCTGCAGGGCATCATGAGCGGCCTGTTAAACTCCACATACAGTATAGAGACGGAAATACAATTATGATGCATATTTAGTCAGCTTTTAGCAAAGTATAAACTTCTTTACACATCAAATACTTTCTGTGACAATTTCAATTTACTTTGAGATTTGTTTGAACGACAAGATCTCAGGAGGTATTAAAGATAAAGAATCCAATATTAAAAAAACAGCAATACAAAAACCATTATTTACTTAGTTATATTTGGAAAACTATTTTAAAACTTCAGCAGTTTGTTCTACTTGTATTGGTCTGTCTTCAAATGTTTACGCTTCTGTCATAAAATTGGTCATAAAAATTCACCAAAAGTTGCTTTTTCATTTTTGTGAACGAGTTATTTCATATTAACAAATATTCTCTATGTTTTATTTTGTATTATTACGACGTGCAGCTAGTTGTGGTTTAGACAACATCACAAGTTGACTTCTGCATTATCAGTTTCCTATGTTGCTTTGTTCAACACAGCTTCGGCTTTTAAAAAAAAAAATATATATAAATATGTCAGTTTTCTATCCATCAGACTGGACGGTATGTTTGGCAGACACACAGCACATCATCACAAACACAACATCCCTATCAAGAGGCATGGAGGTGGCAGCATCATGATGCAAAACATGGTGGTGGCAGCATCATGACGTGAAGCATGGAGGAAGCATATTTCAACTCACCCATAATCAGAGAATTTTTTATCTATTCGTTTAATTTTGCAGATTCTGAATCAATGACATGATGAGAAAAAACGTGAAACTTTCAGGCTTTTATCTTTAATAACTCCGGAGATGTTGTTGTTTGAAACACCTCAATCTCTCACAAAGAATTCGATGCTTCAGTCTAAAATTTCCCAAATATTTAAATATCCACAATTCATGAAAACAATCTTTCAAACATCTCGTCAGTATAAACTGTGTCTCTGGCCTTCATGTGCTCACGAGGCCAAAGCCTTTAATAAAACACCAGACAGACATTTGCTGTGTTGTTCGTTGGTAGACTTTCTTTGATCTTTCCCTCCCGTCCTTCTTCGCTCTCTTCGTCTCTCAGGGTTTGGGCGATCTGAGGAAGCTTCTTCACGAGTTGCCGGTTGCAAACTTCAACCTGCTCAGCTTCATCTGCCAGTAAGACGCTTCCTCCCGAACGTTCGTCCGATTGTTTAAACTCAGTGAGACGAGCTTTTGGGCTTCCTCTGTTTCCTCTGTGCAGGTTTCTGAACGAGGTCCAGAGTTACTCCAGCAGCAACCGGATGAGCGTCCAGAACTTGGCCACCGTGTTCGGGCCGAACATCCTCCGAGCGAAAGCCGAGGACCCGCAAAGCATCATGGGAGGTAGAGTCCTCGAACAACTACCAGCTGCACACTTTAAATCCTCTAAAGTTCATTCGGCCTTAAAGATGTGAGTTAACGGCACTTAATTAGCTCAAAGTCTGATGAGTTAAATTAATTAAACTTGAGAAAACAAGTTCAATAAACTTAAACTATTAAGCTGAAATCACACAGACTTCCTTTCTTTCGTCTTTCATGCTGAGAATTTGTAGCCTCAGCTGCTGAAGCCATGTTTTATTCACTAAAATCAGTAAAATAATAAAAAAAAGGACAGTTTGTGAGGCTGTTCTTGGTTAAAGTGAGATAAAATAAAAGTCTACAGGTGTTCAGACTTAAATATTGTGAAAAGAAACAACCATAGTTCAGTTTAAAACATATTAAAGACACATAGCAGGCTTCCATTATGGCTTAAACTACAAAAAAAAATGTTTATAACTTCAATAACTTATCTTAATAAGATGAATTTCACAAAACAGGAGGAATCTGCAAAATAATGGCTTAAAACATTATTAGTATTTTTTATCTTGATATTTTCATTCTTTCAAATAACAGGAAATATACATAAAATAAATATATATGTTGCTCATTTATGTTGATCAATCTAAAACACAGTTTTGGTCTGATGTTGTACAATTAACAAATAAATTAATTGTGTTTTTGTGATCTTATTAGTTATTAGCTGTGATGTAGCAGCAAAACAGGAAAACATCTGTAAAATTACAGTAAAT